AAAAGCGTGTCAGCACTTATCGAAAACGTTTGTTAGAAGTTATAAAAACTAAAGGATGCTCCACAAGGTACTGAAGCTGGGGGTTGAATAATACTGCACATGCTCATGTGTTACAAGAGTTACAATTTTCATTTGAACTTCAAAGTTAAGTCAACTTCTGTTGTCAAAATAACTCTTATGTATCAATAAATATTTTTTATTTCGGAGGTTTTTTGCATTTATTTTCATTATTTTTCATCAACATCACTATAATGTCTTTTGAGGTGAGGGGGTTGAATATTTCTGTTTGCAACTGTATACATACATACAGTCTAGATGCATTCGATGGATATGTATGTACATTGTGTGTGTGTGTGTGTATGTATATATATATATATAAAAACACACACACACACACATCCATCCACAGGTCCCACATCCTCCGCATGTAACCCCTCTCACTGGAGTTATTTGTATAGTAGCATTCCAATAGTTCCCTGTGCTCATCTCTTGTCCTCTTGTCTGTGAATGTCTTGTTCCAGTAGCCCACTTCTCATCAGGTTGCCCTGGTTCCTCAACACCTGACACAGACCTGGTTGACCCGGTAGAAGTCCAGTGTGACTCTTATTTTTCCAACTCTCATTACCCATGAGGTAGACAGGTGGCATTAAGGGCCTTGCCCAAGGGTCCAGGGCTGGATGTTGGCCATGCCCTGACCAGGGTTCGAACCCCCGACCTTCTGTACCAAAGTCAGTGGTGCTTTCAGCTTCAGAGCATGCCTAAAAAGGAGCGTGTATAAAGTTAAGAGGATCGGACCTAACACAGAGCCCTGTGGAACGCCGTGACTAACTTCAGTATATGTGGAAGAGTTCATTAACATGAACTGAAATCTTCCTGATAAATAAGATTTGAACCAACTCAGTACAATTCCTTTAATCCCAATAACATGTTCAAGTCTCTGCAGTAACATGCTGTGATCAATGGTGTCAAAAGCAGCACTGAGGTCTAAGAGGACAAGTATGGAGACAAGTCCTTCGTCTGGGGCTAGGAGGAGATCGTTGGTGATTGTCACCAGTGCAGTTTCTGTACTAAAACCTGATCGAAAATCATTCTTGTGCAAGTGGTCACATAACTGCTTAGCAACAGCTTTTTATAGAATTTTAGAAATAAAGGGGAGATTGGATATTGGTCTATAATTAGCTAGGACACCTGTGTCAAGAGTAGGCTTTTTGAGTAGAATTCAGTAGACATGGCGCCCACCGAGGCAGACGTGTTTGCGTGTTCCACTCGAATGCCAGCTATTTTTTCATTTTCTTCTTTTTTTGTCTTTTTTACTTTTTCTGCACTGTACAAATGTCATGCACTACTAACATACAACAGACAGGCATTGCTGGATATCACCAACTCACACAGC